GTTGTCGTATCGTTTTTAGAATCAACCAATTGAAATATACCCATTTCTTTGGGTATTTTGAACGGATCAGGCATATCAACATACTGATTTTGAGCTGTTCTCGATCCATGAACGACTACCTAAAAGCAGGCCTACAGATAACTTTAAATGACTGACTGTTGAGACGGCGCACACGCTCCAATGCCAAAGACAGGAGAAAGAAGTTTTAGAACGTTAAATCATGAATGATGACCTGCACATTAAACCGTCGAATAAGGTCCTCAGTAATCATATAAGGCGCGCCAATGACAACTTCAGAAACGGGCTAAATCAGTAACACATTTGAAAAACTACTTCTCTTGTTACCTGTTTTAAAATGAAAAAAGAAATAATTAAAATATTATTATTGAAAAAAAAGAGCAAAAGCTAAGTAACACTTCTAGGTTTCATTAACCTTGTATGCTAGGACACTCAGAACACGTTCATGCAGTGACATTATCGGATGATTGCCTCCTTTATATTCGTTAACCACCTAAAAAATTGTTTGGATAGCTATGCAATAAGGAAGTCGTCGATAAACGTGAAGAAACTGAAGAAAAGAACCTTAGAAAATAGACCTGATCAGTATGAATCCCAACTATAAGGTAATCGCCAAGCTTTCGTGCCTCTTCCAGAAAACATAGATGACCAATATGGAACAAATCAAAAGCTCCGCAAGCATAAATGACAACATCTCCAGGAGCTGGTGGAAGTCCTTCCGCAAACTGTATTAGTGTTTGCGTAGTAGGGAAAAAATGCGATACTCGAGTCCAGGGCGAAACAGCCTCATTTCCCTGTTAAATGTTGCTTTTCTCTCGGCATCTAATTAACATGAGACACATCAAATTCAATTCATGTAAAAAGGGACATTACATTGAAAAGTTAGAAAAATTTGAAAATGAGAAAAAATAATGTGCAAGAGTGTTAAAAACGATTAAAAATGTAATCCATACGGTACTTAACGATTGAGCTCTTTCTCTGCTCTCCACATCGAGCTCATCACCACGTACGTGATGAGTTTTGGTTAGCAAAAGCATACGACCCACCAAATCCTAAGTTAGAAAAATAGAATTAAACAAGAGGAATGTAAATTATTTAGTCAATTAGGCATAGTTTAAACTTTGTTAAAAGAAATTGTACAGCTAAAAAATGTCAAATTAAGCTCGTTTAATAAATAATTAATTTTCGCTATCAATTCTGAAAAGAATAATTCTTACTGTCGTTGAAACTCCAGCAGTCCTTGGGCATTCTTTGTAGCGGCCGCATCGTTTCACTTCCTCATATGTGTCAACCCCTTCTGCAGTCAAAGTTATATCGTCTTAAAAACAATAGATTTTATTACCACATATCTGCAAATCAAAAAGAAATATTTTAAACATATATGCATCAATTAAACGAAACCTCCATGAACACAAAAATCGCAGCCGTACTTGTCAAGTGTCTTCACGGTGGTAACATATGGAGCACCTTCAACAACCTAAATTATGTCAGTTGCAGTAACTACATTACCAATTGCAGGCTTCCAGTAAGCCTTAAATAAGACACTCAAATCAGCTCTTGGTAATGATTTAAATAAAAAAAATGCTATTTTACAACAGTTTTTCACAGTTATTCAAAAACCCGAAGCTTCTATTTGTGCAGACCTCGTCAACCCACTTGATACCTCGAACCATTTTGTATCGCTCTTCTTGCGTAAAAACTGGTGGACCTTTAT